GAAGCAGGCTCCATGCACCGGGAGCCCGATGTGGGATTCGATCCTGGGTCTCCAGGATCGCGCCCTGGGCCAAAGGCAGGCGCCAAACCGCTGCGCCACCCAGGGATCCCGCAGCTTCTGTTTAAAGTTTGATTGGCAGGGGTCAATAGGTGTTGAAATGTGAAGTGTTGCCTATAGGTAGGTGGGTGTTGTGGGCTTTTTGCCAACAGGGTTCTTTGCTAAAAATCTTGAAAAGGAGGTTTCTGCTTGCCCAGAAGACCCCTGTCTATTAATAGATGGATTTCCTGATATTCAAGACCAGAGCAGCTGGCTTCTGAAAAACTGGCTGGGATGACAGATCTGGGTTCACATAAAGACAACGAGGCCAGATTTGTTGGCCTGCAAAGGAGCATTGTCTCTGGTTTTTCAGCATTTGTTTTAGTTCAGATAATTTATGTTCATACTCACTTTGTCCCCCTGAATCAGGAGGCATCACCATGAAGGCCTGGCCTAAGGGAGGAAGGCCCCAAGGGTGAAGTTCCCCAGTTGGGAGCAAGGTCTGGTGGTCAGGGGCAGTCATAGCTCAGTGACTCTCTTCAGGGGTACCTTCTGGGGCCTGTCTCTTGGAGCAGAGGGAGAGCACGTGCCTCAGCCGGCTGCAGCAGAGGCACACCCACGTCGGGAGTTTTAAGAGTGGAGGCAGCAGATGGAAAACCTACATGCGGACAGTCGCTGAAAGCAGGTGCATTTGGGGGTGTATTTGTGTCCTTGAGGTACTTCTGATAGGCTGGGGTTTTCTGATAGGATCTTTTTACCCATTGGTAGAAGAGTGATTTTTCTGCTCCCAGTTTGTCTTTGTCAGGTGGCATTCGTTCTTAGTAGAGATCCCCACGTTAACTATAGGTGGACTTCAGTCCCTTTTAACATTTTCAGAGTAGGGGAAAAAAAAAAAACATTTTCAGAGTAGGGAGTTGGAATATGGACCTCTCCAGTAGTAGTAGCAAATTAGGGTTTGGGATTTTTATTAAGTATCCTTATGGGCTCAAGCTTTTATAGAAATGTAATGTGCTGAATCAGTTTTGGTTATATATTCAGAATACGTTAGGGAGGCCTGGGTGGCTCAGTGGTTGGGCATCTGCCTTCAGCTTAGGGAGTGGTCCCAGGATCGAGTCCCATATTGGGCTCCTTGCGGGGATCCTGCTTCTCCCTCTGCCTGTGTTTCTGCCTCCCTCTCTGTCTCTCATGAATGAATAAATAAAATCTTTAAAAAAAATGTTATTATGAAAAATTTCAAACATGCATTAAAGGTGACACAATTTTACGGTGAACAGCTACCTGTAGATAGAGTCTTGGTTCTGCCATTGACATTTGAATTTTTTTTCTCATCCATCTTTCCATCTGTTCTGGTCATCCTTCAGTCCACATTGATTGATTGATGTATGCACTTATTGAACATCTCCGACATATAATCCATCTTATTCTTACATGTTTCAAAGTAGCAGAAAGTTGCAGGCTTCTGTCTAAATGTTGGCTAGAGTCAAGCATTTTTTTTTTAATTTTTTTTTTTTTTAATTTACTTATGATAGTCACAGAGAGAGAGAGAGGCAGAGACACAGGCGGAGGGAGAAGCAGGCTCCATGCACCGGGAGCCCGACGTGGGATTCGATCCCGGGTCTCCAGGATCGCGCCCTGGGCCAAAGGCAGGCGCCAAACCGCTGCGCCACCCAGGGATGCCTAGAGTCAAGCATTTATTTACAGTTCTTTTTTTCTTTAAAAATAATGCACAAAAAAATAAAAATAAAATAAAAATGCACACATCTTCTTGAGTATACCGTTCAACTAGGTTTTTTTTTTTTAAAAGATTTATTTATTTATTCATTCAGAGGGAGCGAAGAGAGAGGCAGAGACACAGGCAGAGGGAGAAGAGGCTCCCTGCAGGAAGCCCGATATGGGACTCTATCCTGGGTCTCCAGGATCATGCCCCCGGCTGCAGGTGGCGCTAAACCGCTGTGTCACCGGGTCTGCCCCCATTCAACTAGTTTTGACCACTGCATGCACCCAACCTCTACCAAGATGTAGACCGTGACTATCACTTGAAAAGCACTGTTCCTGGGTTTTCCTGCCACACCACTGTCCAAGGCAACTGCTGAGCAGTTTTGGCTTTTTTAGAACTTCGTATAGATGATAGCTTATTATTATTACTATTACTGTTATTATTAATTTTTTTTTTTTTTTTTTGTATTCCGTTGCTTCAAATGTAGCCAGTGGAATTCTTTACAGGTCAACTCCTTGTTCCTTTGGACCACCTACATTAGTGTGAGCACTTTCTTGCTTTCTGAACTGCAAATGACTGGGCTCAAACAGTTCTGGGGTGAGGTGCCGAATCAACCATTTCTCTGGGGAACTCTTTTTAGTAAGTTAGACATTATCAGTCCTGTAAAACCTGGAAAGTCTTAGCCACCTGAAACCTTGGTTTAAGCTCTTTTGTTTTTAAAGTCCTTCCGTTTGATATCTGTTGCAGAGGAGTGTAGCATGAAGAGATGGTAAGTGTGACATTAAACATTGGTTCCTGGCATCTTGTTGGGCTTGGAAGGAAGAAATTTCTTCTTCTTTTGTGCCAGGTAACTGTGTCCACAGGGACAAGGCACTTATCTGACCTGTCTTTCACCATCCCAGCAGCCAGCCCAGGTCTTGGTGTGGAGGAAGAACATGCTAAATCCTTGTCGATTAAATAAATACAGTTTTTTTTATATTTATTATTTATGATAGTCACAGAGCAGAGAGAGAGAGAGAGAGAGAGAGAGGCAGAGACATAGGCAGAGGGAGAAGCAGGCTCCATGCACCGGGAGCCCGACGTGGGATTCGATCCAGGGTCTCCAAGATCGAGCCCTGGGCCAAAGGCAGGCGCCAAACCGCTGCGTCACCCAGGGATCCCAATAAATACAGTTTTAAACATCAGCCTTCTTTATCAGATTGATGAGGTTCCAGCATAGATGTGGCCAGGAGTGGTGGCTGTTTAACATTGCCATCTCACCATCAGACTATGATTTCTTGATGGTATGCTTCTCTGTTTAGAACTAGGCATCTGATCGTTGGTTAAATTTTTAGATGGCATTAATTGGCTGCACTTTTGTTAGGACTATGTAAGTACATTTTGCAATTAAATTAAAAACCATAATGGCAGTTTTCAGACCTCACAAGTGAATGCTAACATTACCATCTCCCAGCTTCAACAGCTATCAGTACTTTGCCATTTTGTTTTATATTTGCCCGCATCTTCACTGCCTGCCTTTGCAGTATTTTAGAGCAAATACGAAGCAGGTACTTTGAACTGTAAATTTATCTTAAATACGCCTAGCAGGTAAAGCATTTTTTTTGAACACAGCTTTGATAACATATGTTCCTAACTGAATGAATGGTAAGTTATTCACATAGGACGCACTTTGTATCGTCACTCATCACTTAGCGCCCCCCCCCCCCCCATGGCAGCCTGGCAAATGGAGATCTTGTTGGTAGAAGTTGGTGCCATTTTGAAGGACTGTGGGATTTGTGCTGCATGCTTTCCATAGGTTGACTTGTTTAACTTTCACTGCTCGTGCAAAGGTAGAGGGGCCACATCCATGTTGCAGGTGTAGAAGGAAGCTTCAGGGCCACGTGGCTAATGGCTGGGCATGCAGGGATTCCAGCCCAGGTATGTATGGAAGCTCCTATTTGGCGGTGACCGAGTGGTTCATCAAGGGCATAGTGAACAGCCGAACTCAGAGCCTGGTCTCCACTCCTCTCCCCACTACCCCCAGCATAGCCTTTGACCCTGCTTGTCCTCTTGTGTACCTCTGCAGGAGCATCACCTCTTACTTCACCTTTCAGTTTTATAGTTCTACTTTGAAGCCTACAAATTTGGGCTCAGAGGTTGGGCGTCTACCTTTGACTAGGCGCCTGATCCCAGTTTGGGGATTGAGTCCCACATTGGACTCCCTGTGAGGAGCCTGCTTCTCTCTCTGCCTATGTCTCTGCCTCTCTCTGTCTGTCATGAATGAATAAATAAAATCTTAAAAAAAAAAAAAAAACCCTACAGATTTGCAATTAGATTGTTAGGTAGTCCTGAAGCATTGTGGGAAATTCTTGTTTTGGCCTGGCATGTCCAAGTTTGTCTTTGAAGCGTGTGCCTTCCAGGTGGAGTCTGCTGCCCTGCCTAGAAACTAAGATTGAAGCAGCTGGCTGTTGCGTGGTTGGATGGCATGGGATAGGTGGATTTCATTAGTTTTGTATTATTGTGATGGATTTCTTTTTTGTTATTTACTCATTTGGAAGATTTTAGCCTGGACCAGACTGTTTGCACAGAGTAGGAATTGAGTAGGTTGTAGTCAGCATGTTATTTAGAGCCCAAGATGGTAATTACAGCTATGCTTGTCCTGAAGACTTCTGTTGTGCACTTGGGTTCTCAAGGCCTCTCTGAAATGGAGCCCATAGGTGTGGTCATGTGGTGCTGTAGTTGTATCCACCTGATGTTTCAGAAGGTTCTTGCGTTTCTGATTTATAGAAGCCTTTTGGGGCTCTCTCTCTCCTGCTTTCCTTCCATTTCTTCATTACTCAAAGACCAGAGCTCCTTCCCTCTCTCTGCCTTCTCCAAACACCAAGATTTTGCTGAACATTTGTGTTGTTATCATTTATTGGGGGCTCATTGATTTGTGTGTATGTATGTTTTGAGGGGTTTTTTGGGGGGTAAGAACTGGAATATTTTACATTTAAAAAAATGAAAGTTGATGAGATAGAAATCTGCTGAATGTGGTGGGAATTCAGAGTTAGCTTCTAAAACCAGCTATTTTCATTTTTAGGGGATTTTATAATTAGTTGCTTGTACCTTAGCTTAGCAGTGATTACTTGGAAATAAAGATGTGTCTTGCTGGGTTAACAGTGTCCCTTTGGATGGCTGCACCACTTTCATCCTACTAAGTATCTGGCTACTAAAATTCATCCATCTATGAAATATTTGAAACTAAAAAGATTTTCTGATCTTATAGATAGTTGAAGTATTGATAACACCAAGGAAATCTGTCACAATTTGAAAAGATAAGCAAACATTTGATTTCCAGACACTACAGAAAAAAGAAGTAAAAATGGTAAGTTTTTTTTTTTACTCATACTTATTTCTTTATTCATAGTCAAAGATGCAGCATTTTCTCCAAGGCATTTGATTCTCCTTTCATTAGACTTTTTGAATTATAAAATACTGCTACATAGGGAAAGAGTTCACCCGCATATATATGTATATACACATATATAGATATATATAATTATGTAAAGTTAAGTGTGCCCCCTTTTGACTGCCTGGAGAATGAACTGCTGTTCCATCTGGTCCTGCTTCTCAGACCTTCAGTAGTGGTCGTGTAGGTGGCTTACTTTGACATAAATGATAAGGCATAATTCTGAGTTGGGCAGCTTGAAAGAGAAGTGGAGGATCACTTGGTGTCTTTGTGGTTTTTAAATGAGATTTTATATTTCTAGCGTCCGATGCGAATTTTTGTGAATGACGACCGCCACGTGATGGCAAAGCATTCTTCTGTTTATCCAACCCAAGAGGAACTGGAGGCAGTCCAGAACATGGTGTCCCACACAGAGAGGGCTCTCAAAGCTGTGTCTGACTGGATAGATGAACAAGAGAAAGGCAGCAGTGAGCACACTGAGTCGGAGAATGTGGACGTGCCCCCGGAGGATGAGACCAAAGAGGGGGCTGGGTAAGTTTGAGGTTTGGTGGGGGAGGGATCCTTCCTGGAGAGACTGGCCAGCATAGGCATGAGTGTCTCCTTTTCTTCCCCAGCCTTCCAGGGCCTCTGGGTTCTAGCTGCATTGAATTCACTCACTGAGCATACTTTGGTCTGTCCCTCAGGGAGCAGAAGACTGAGCACATGACCAGAACCCTGCGGGGCGTGATGCGAGTTGGCCTTGTAGCAAAGGGCCTGCTGCTCAAGGGGGACTTGGATTTGGAGCTGGTGCTGCTATGTAAGGAGAAGCCCACGACTGCCCTCCTGGACAAGGTGGCTGACAACCTGGCCATCCAGCTCGCTGTGAGTGACTGTTTCCACCGGGTGGGGTCAGGTCATGCTCGTTGAGGATGCAGAACAGAGGAAGGCTCATTTGTCCTGTGCACACTACAAACCCACCTTGGCACGTGCTTTGCTTGTGCCTTATCCATAGGTAATGGGCAGGATGCTGCAGAGCTGCTAAGATTCTGTGGACAGGGCCTGAGTGACTCTGATGGGCCCAAATTTTCTTGTCAGCTGGGAAAGACTTGGTGCCCATGAGGTGCCAGACTATACTGTTCTAGGGTTGCAGCAGGCTAGAACTCTAAATCCACACACAGTTGGGCAGATGGGTTGGTGTATGGATGGTTGAATAGAAGGTACTATTATTAACTCTTCCTCCCTGATCCAAAACTGGACAGAAGAACTTTTTAAAAAGCAGCTTGTTTTGTTACAAAATAGTGTTGTATAAATAATAGCCTCTGATATTTTTTAAGAATTTACTACACCAGGACAGCCCCGGTGGTGCAGCGGTTTAGCGCTTTCTGTAGCCTGGAGCGTGATCCTGGAGACCCTGGATCGAGTCCCACATCAGGCTCTCTGTATGATACCTGCTTCTCCCTCTGCCTGTGTCTCTGCCTCTCTCTCTCTCTCTCTCTCTCTCTCTCTGTCTCTCTGTCTCTATGAATAAATAAAATCTTAAAAAAAAAAAAAGAATTTACTACACCAGACTCTTGGCCAGGTGTGTTGTTTATATGTATATCGTTTCCTCCTCGAAACAACCCTTTGAGATAGGATCATATCGTCTTGGTCTTTTTATCCATCCATCCATCCATCCATCCATTCATTCATGAGAGACAGAGGCAGAGCAAGAAGCAAGAAGCAGGCTCCATGCAGGGAGCCCGATGTGGGACTCGATCCCGTGACCCCAGGATCATGCCCCAGGCCCAAGGCAGGCACTAAACTGCTGAGCCACCTGGGGATCCCCACATCTCAGTATTTTAGAAGATGTGACTAGGGTGCAAGGAGCTGAGTTGTTGAACCCTGCACTCCTGGTTGTGAGTCCTGGGATTTTAGAACCTCCAATCGTCACCACCATATGCTGCCTCCTTGGGACACATTTACCCTCCACATTCACAGGATAAGCACAAGAATAAAAAAAAGAAACTAAGAAATCGCATTCCTTAAGGGAAACACACTTCATTTTCACACGTAAATGTGGATTTTTTTTCTACGTGGTGACTAATAATTTGAGATTTAGGATAGAGGTCAGAATTGAAATGTGGAATTAATGCAGTATAGTAGATACTTCTGGAGAGCTATATTTCAGGTGAATGAAGCCCTAAACTTTGTTTTGGTGGTAATTTTTTACATTAATTTTAGTCTATATTTATAAAAAGTATATTCATTGATGAAAGTTACTTTGTTGTAAATGTTTTTAAAGGAAAGACTTTTTTTAAAAAAGTCTTTAAAGGAAGATACAAATAAAGTATTTTTATTGAATCAGATTAGTGTTTTTTGACTAGGGCAATTTTGACCCCCACAGAGGACCTTTGGCGATTTGGAGAGATTTGATGTTGTGACTATGTGTGGGAGGGGGCTGCTGCTGATAACCACTAGGTAGGGGCTGGAAATGGCTGCTTGGTGTCCTCCAATACAGAGGTTAGCCCCACAGCCCAGGAATATCCGTAGCACTGAGGTGAAGAAACCCCGGTTTAGATTTTTCAATGTGCATCTGCCCCTCCCTCAGTGTGACTTTTCCTGTATTGTTTCCCCTAACAAAAATAAAATCGTAAGAGCATGAATTTTCTTCATCAAGGCATGTAACTAACAACAACAACAAAAAATGATGTAACTGGTACAAAGGAGAAAGCAGAAGCCAGGTGAACATCCTTTTATAGATACATGTGTTTGCAGCAAGTACTTGCATATTTTTGTTTGCATTATGTACTACACGTTATCTTACTATGCAGTTTTCTTGCCACATGGATGGCTGCTCATCTCCATATGGAAAATACCTGTGGTGGATGCTCACTCTGCTGGGTGTTAACACTTTGCACATCATATCTGTGTAAGCCTCCTGCAGCCAGATGCTGTGGGTCTTGTCACGAAGTCCATTTTACAATTTAGAAACCAGCATCTTAATGAGATTAAATAACTTATCTAAAGTTACACGACTACCAAACAACAAAATGAAGATTCACACCCTTGTCTCCTTTTCCCAGACCCTGAAAATCTTACTGTTGCTTTGTAAAGCTCCCTATGAAAAATCACTTCTTTGCGTAGTTAGAGACCCCCACTCTGGAGTACCCAGAAAACGGCAAGAGACTTGGCAAGAGGGAGGTACTGATCCCTGGATGAAGGCACCGCTGTTGTGTCACAACCCAAGAAGTTGACATGTGTGCTGTGGTAACCAGCGAAACAGCTGTAGATTGCCTATCTTGAGGAAGTGTGTTTGAAAGTTGCATTTTCTTTTGTAGGCTGTTACAGAAGACAAGTACGAAATACTCCAGTCTGTTGATGATGCTGCGATTGTGATAAAAAACACAAAAGAGCCTCCATTGTCCCTGACCATCCACCTGACATCCCCTGTTGTCAGAGAAGAAATGGAGAAAGTATTAGCCGGAGGTAGGGAGGCTGAGAAAAGCCAGCAGGACTTTGGAAACTCGGTGTTCCCTCGCCAGTCAAATGTGCTATTCAGTTTTAGACTGCTTTGATAAAAGGCCGTCCGTGTAGCTTTGGCCACGTACTCTGAGGTCACATCTCCCGTTCAGTTTCAGTACTTGGGAGTTTGCACTAAAAGTGAGTAGCACTTTTTTCGTAGAGGATTGCACCATTTTTGTTTTATCTTTAATCCTTGAATGTTTTCATCGGTGTTACACTTGGTTTTTCTGTTGAGCGTTCTCTGGCCTTGGAAAAGTATGTCCCTGGTGATTTTATGGCTTTTAAATTATGGAAGACAACCAGATGGTTTCTGCATGAACATCACGTTGGAGTCGTGCAAACAGCTTGTGTTGCAGCAGAACCGAGGGCTGCTTCGCTTGTCCTCTTCCAGGGGCTGCTTTTATCAGCTGCCATGATTGAAATGCAAAGAGCTGGTACAGAGTTTTGGATAAAGTTGTGAACAATTGTGTGATTTTTCGAACCAAAACCTCAGAAGCTTTTGCAATTGAAAGGCCACCAAGGGCCCCTCATGCCTTTCTTCTGTGCGGACGTTTTTTTAATCCGAGATCTCACACCACAGAGTGAAGGTAACAGGCCTTATCCAAATCCCTGACACATGAGTGGCAGCAGTGACAGTGCTCCAGTTCTGCTGCAGCAGAGGCTCACACTTTGCGCCCTCGTTGCTATTCTTTGGTTACCTTTGGTTCCGATACCTGATTCCAATTATCGATTTAGGGACGCTGGACCTTTGACCAACAGGACTCTCTCTGTCAAGGGCTGGGGCTAGGGCAGTCCCGCCTGGTGGGCGGAGGTGGTCCCCTTTGCTGCAGATGCCTCAGGGGATGGCCGTTGTGGGAAGCAGAGAAGGGAGTTCATTTCCACTCCCCCCACCTATTTTGGGGTTTTTTGTTTGTATTTTTGGGGGGGTTTGTTTTGATTTTTTGTTTGGTTTCGTTTTTGGGTTTTTTTTTTTGTTTTTTGTTTTTTTGTTTTTTTGTTTTTGTTTTTTGCTATTGAAATTTTTAGCATAGCTAATTTATTGGGAGATCATGGGGAGGAAGCAAGGTAATTGTCTATTAGAAGATAGGATCCACCTATCTGTCCCACTCCCCCATGGGATTATTCCTTCTAGAGTAACTTCCCACTTTTGCTTTTGTTTTTGTTTTTTTTTTTTGGAAGGGCCTCCGATTTTTACGATCTCCTCAAGGCAGAGTTAAACGCACTCTAGCTTCTCCTTCCCTGGTCTAGGGTGGAGATGACTTGAGATTCTGGGAGCCTCAGCTGCCCTTTAGGAAGCTGCCACATCCCCTTTCCACCTGACAGAAACCCCTTGGTCAAACTGTGCCTTGTCTTCTTATTCCATCCATGAATAGAAACGCTATCAGTCAACGACCCCCCGGACGTTCTGGACAGGCAGAAATGCCTTGCTGCCTTGGCGTCCCTCCGACACGCCAAGTGGTTCCAGGTTTGCATTTTGTTCTTCTATTTGTCTTTTGGTAGAGAATTCCTAAGTTTTAACTTGGCTAACTTTCACCATAAAGTTTCGGTAACGTTGAAGATCTCTGTGCTGAACTTAGCACCTGCAGGCGTGCAGCTGCTAACGGAGCGCGCATAGACAAATTTGACGTCCCCAAAGGAGGCTTGTGACTGAGTAGGTGGGCTGCTGCTGCTTTGTGCCAAGAGTAACATTGTTCTTGTCCACAACGGTGAAAGCGCTGCTGGCCACACACTTGATGGTCTTGAACGTTCACCGTTTACCCTTGACAAAGTAGCACCCTGAGACTTGTGTTTTTCATGTTTGCCTTGTGTTTAGGGAGGTTCCCTGGTGTAAAGAGCCTGTGCTTTGTTCTCTAGGCCAGAGCCAACGGGCTGAAGTCGTGTGTCATTGTCATCCGGGTCCTGAGGGACCTGTGTACCCGAGTGCCCACCTGGGGTCCTCTCAGAGGATGGGTAAGGACCTTCATAGCTGTGGCCACTTGGGGGGGTCATGGGTACAGACTTTCTCCCATATCCCAAGAATATGTTAGAGTAACTGGGCTGGAGTGGTCGTTTGGGGTGTGGCCAGTGCATCCCTGTACTGGCCATTTATTAAACAACTACTTCATGCCATCCCCTGGGAGGGGGATGAGAGCTAGACCAGGATATCCATCTCTCCTCCCCTCCCCCATCCACCCACCATAGTAGACTCAGAGCTCAGCCTAGGGAGGGGGCTGCCGGGTAGCACATTTACTGTGATCCACGAAGAAGCCTTTTTGTAGCTGTTCTTGGACAGGGGTCAGCAAAGTGGCACCTATAGGCCAGTTCTGGCCAGCTGTCTCTTTATCAGTAGCCCATAGTTAAGAACAGTCTTTATTTTTTTTGCCTCTTGGCTCACACAGTCTGAAAGATTTAATGTTTGTCCTTTTAAGGAAGAGTCACCAGGCCAGGCTCTGGTTGTCCTGTCTTTGGTTTAGCCTCAACTCATGCACTTGGAGGGGTTTGACACCCCCACCCCCCACAACCCTGGGAAAACACACACACCGACAGCTCCTTAGTGTTGGCTGCCCACCTCCTGCACAGTGGCGCTAACTGTACCTCTTGCCTTTCAGCCCCTTGAGCTTCTCTGTGAGAAGTCCATCGGCACTGCCAACAGACCAATGGGTGCCGGCGAGGCCCTGCGGAGAGTGCTGGAGTGCCTGGCGTCGGGCATCGTGATGCCAGGTTGGGGCCTTGTGCTTTGCAAGTTGCAGGGAAAGAACAGGGATTGAGGCCCTGAGGCCACTTCCTGGCGGGTCCCCTGACCGGGTTAGGGCAGCAGCCGCCCCGTGTCCCCCTAGGGCTGAAGCATGTGACTACCCTCTTGCACCATCATATCCAGCCCTGTGTCGGCTCCGCAGCTGTGACTCAGGGCGGATCCGGGGCAGTGGTGACCCACTCCCACGCGAGCTCCTTGCACTGAGACACGTGGGTTATTTATCTCACGGACTGGACGCTGAGTGGGTCACCGAGCTCAGCGTGTTTTCCAGAGCTGGGTGTGGATGTGGCGTGGGGGGTAACGCACCTGGTTCCCTCAGCCAGCACAACTCTTCCGAGATGCTAAAAGATAATCCTCTGCATATCTTCCTTGTTTCCTGCCTTCAGATGGTTCTGGCATTTATGACCCTTGTGAAAAAGAAGCCACTGATGCTATTGGGCATCTAGACAGACAGCAACGGGAAGATATCACACAGAGTGCGCAGGTATAGTCATCGCCATTGCCAACGTGAGCCCTTACCCAGTCTGTAATCACTGGCTTCCAGTTCCATTACTGGGTATTCTCAGGGTCGCCACTGGACTCGTAGGCTCAGGTTGGGGACCGAAGGTGAAGGGATTGTGCCTGATACAGGGCGCCCCAATCTGGGCTGCTTCTTTCCCTTGGCGCCACGCGTGGTTGTCGCCTGTCCCCTCAGCCTGCTCGAGTGCTACTTTTGGACACCGAGTTCAGCGGGGAGATGTATTTGCTGTGTGCACTGCTCCAGGGTCCTTCCCTTGCAGGCCCACCACGTGGCTCCGTGTGGCAACCAGTCCCCAGGTTGGGGTCTCCTGTATTCCTCTCGAGGGGGGTGGTCACAGGCTGGCCTTCCCCCACAGCGAGGTTGGGTCCTGACAGTCAGGCCCTCCCCTGGCTGTTGGGGGACCCCTTGCTGTTGTAGGGGAGACCGTTAGCAACCCCCTCAGCTCCCACCCCTTCCAGAAGGCATTAGCGAGCGCACACACCTTGGCGGGGAGCACAGGGCGGCTGAGTCAGGTCCTCTTCCCCTTCTCCAGCATGCTCTGCGACTTGCTGCATTTGGCCAGCTACATAAAGTTCTGGGTATGGACCCTCTGCCTTCTAAGATGCCCAAGAAACCAAAGAATGAAAACCCAGTGGACTACACAGGTAAGCATGCCATGGGCTCAGCCCCAGGCTGATGGTGTCAGCGTGGACTCCAGCAAGAGCACAGGAGGGATCTTTAGCCTTTTGTTTGTTTGTTTTTTTCAGTTCAAATTCCCCCCAGCACCACCTACGCCATTACACCCATGAAACGCCCTATGGAAGAAGATGGGGAGGAGAAGTCCCCTAGCAAAAAGAAGAAGAAAATTCAGAAGAAAGGTACTAGTGTTTGTCTTTAGCACTTGGTTTGTCTTTTTCCTGGCTCGATTAAAAGTCCTCCCAAAGTGGTGAGATGCTTGCTTTTGCCTTAATTTCCTCAGATGTGATACCAAAGCCCGTTTTTAAATGACTAATTGTGGTGCGGGTCTGGAATACATACGGGGTGGTTTTGCGTAGCACCATGCCATGGGAGGCCGTCGGAGGAGCTGCCGCCTCCCACCTCCTCGGTTAGCCTCAGCTGACGGCGCACCACCGTGTCGGTGTTCTCTTTCCAGAGGAGAAGGCCGAGCCGCCTCAAGCAATGAACGCTCTTATGAGACTAAACCAGCTGAAGCCGGGACTGCAGTATAAGCTGGTTTCTCAGACTGGTCCAGTCCATGCCCCCATCTTCACCATGTCTGTGGAGGTAGATGGCAACTCCTTCGAGGCTTCTGGACCGTCCAAAAAGACTGCGAAGCTGCATGTGGCTGTGAAGGTACATGCCAGCAGTGTTGTGTACCGCGTGCCTGTTCTGTGAACAAAAGCACTTTTGCACCTTGGGCTCCTTTAGAGCCGTTATATGTTATTGAAACCCTCGATGTGGACAACACGAGGCTTAGGGTGTGTGAACACTGAGATGGGTGGATATTTTAATGTTTGCCAAGTCACACATGAAAGAATGGCTTCATCACTGTGGTTGACAGGCAGAGAGTCTCTGAATGTGGGCGAGCGTCAGAGTTTCAGGGGGGTGGGATAGGCGGGAGGGGGGAGAAAAAAACACCCTCTGGATTCCTGGCTGCCACCTTAGGAGCTTCTGATTCAGGATCCTGGGGAATGCGAGATCTACGTAGGTGACCCTGGTGCTACATCCCCCTCCGTAACTGGGGAGCCTTGTGCATGTCCCCCTGCAGGTGTTACAGGACATGGGCCTGCCTACTGGCGCTGAAGGCAGAGACTCCAGCAAGGGAGAGGATTCGGCTGAAGAAACAGAAGCAAAGCCGGCTGTGGTGGCCCCTCCGCCTGTGGTGGAAGCTGCTTCGACTCCCAGTGCTGCCTTCCCCTCAGATCCCACTGCCGAGGTGAGCACATGGTGGGGGCTGACGTGCCCGACAGGTTGCAGCAGACAGTCCTGTGTTCTCTGAGCCAGGAGGGTTACTGGTTCTTGTTATCTCTCCCCCACCCCATAAAGAGTAGCTTCATGTCTAGGAGCCTGTACAGGGAGCGGGGTGGAGCCTCTGAGCCACCACCAAGAGGCCCTTGCTGATGTTGCCCCAACACCCAGGGCTGTGGTGGGATAGCCCTCAGTTGAAGTCAGGCCATCCCCCAGAGATAGGGTATGGATGGAGGCAGTCCCATTGCTGGGAGGCCCTCAAAGGACTTCCAGAGCCTGGGAGGCAAGGGTGTGAGGGACAGCAGGGGAAATGGACTGGAAGGGCCTCTGGCATGTTTGGGGGGCGGCTGCCATCCTCCACGTGCTGGAAAGCCCTTAGCTGAGTTTTTTGGTTTTCTTTTCTGTTTTCCCTGAGAACGTAAAACAGCAGGGGCCGATCCTGACCAAGCATGGCAAGAACCCTGTTATGGAACTTAATGAAAAGAGGCGTGGCCTCAAGTACGAGCTCATCTCAGAGACTGGGGGCAGCCATGACAAGCGCTTCGTCATGGAGGTGAGCAGCCAGCTCCCAGGAGAGTAGTCACTGCCCCAGAGGGAAGCATTGGGCCGCCCTGACACACATCTGTTCTTCCCAGGTCGAGGTGGATGGACAGAAATTTCAGGGTGCTGGCTCAAACAAAAAGGTGGCAAAAGCATATGCCGCTCTTGCTGCACTAGAAAAGCTATTCCCTGATGCTCCTCTCGCCCTGGAAGCCAACAAGAAGAAGAGAGCCCCTGTGCCTGTCAGAGGTGGACCGAAATTTGCTGCTAAGGTGAGTAGTTGTCCCCCGCAGTCTATGGCCTGAGCTGGAGCTCTCCTGTGTTTGGAGCTTGAGGTGAATGCAACTTGTCTCTGTTCTCTCCCCTGCAGCCACATAACCCTGGGTTCGGCATGGGAGGCCCCATGCACAATGAAGTACCCCCGCCCCCAAACCTTCGAGGGCGGGGAAGAGGAGGGAACATCCGAGGTCGAGGTCGAGGGAGAGGATTTGGCGGCGCCAATCATGGAGGCTACATGAATGCCGGTGAGGACCCTTGTCTTGTGTTGTCCCAGGGATCTGGCTTGCTCCCTTCAGTGAGTGGGGCCCCTGGGGTCAGGCTGGGATAGCAGGAGAGGTCGGGGAGGGCAGACCCACCTTCTACCCCCGTAACCCTGTGCATTCCTTTCCAGGCGCTGGATATGGCAGCTATGGGTATGGAGGCAACTCGGCAACGGCAGGCTACAGTAAGTGTGTATTTCTCTTTGTCTGAGGTTGGGGAGAAGCTACAGCTTAGCTCCCACACCTGAGTTAGAGCAGGGTGGCCCACCAGCAGCACCCTCCCTGAGATTTAAGAGTGGCACGCATCTTTTCTGAGTGATTAGGGCAGACAATCCTCCAGCCCCATCCTGCAAAAGTGTAATTTGTTCTTTAAATGTTAACACACGTTTGTGTGACTCGAAATTTCCTTAAAAGTCAAAATTTTAAATTTCTCTGCTTTAAGCCATGCGAAGCACCAGTCCTGTGATTATGCTTTTCCTGACAGTGCACAGCTCTTGTCTTGAGAAGGAGCCTTCATTGGGGGGTTACAGGAGCAGAGAAATCTAAAACATGAATTTCAAATGTGGCGCTCTGTGCCATTTTTCAAAAGAATTCTAATTTTTTTTCTCTGCTCTGTCTCCCCCTTTTGTAGGTGACTTTTTCACAGACTGCTACGGCTATCATGATTTTGGGTCTTCCTAGAGCATCTAAAAGTATTGCACACAAAATCAACTTTTTACTCCAATTTTCTCGAACTCCAAAACCCAAAGTGTCCGTGCTGTGCCCCTGTGCTTCACTGGGTTTCTCAACCGTGGCTTGTCACCGCAGCTTGTCTGAAACTCTTAGCCTGCAGAATTTAAGACAATGGCAGTTTTTATCGTGATTTGCCTTTGAACTTGGTCATATTGAAGTTCACAATAAGTGGAAAACAATTTTCAGAGAATGCATTTTTGTGCAGAATTGCACAGAATTCTAGAGCCAGCGTTGGTCAGCATCAAGGCAAAAGCCCACCTTTGCTTTTTATGGAAAGCATTACTTTATTTAAGAGACAGATAATGATGCATTTTAATCTACCTTTGTCTTAATTTACAGCAGGTTTTGTATGAATTTTTAACCTTTTAACAAATTCCCAAATCTGGTTGATGCCTTTGACAGTAATGAAAACGATTTTATCACATCTGAATCCAGAGCAACTGGCTTTTTCTTTTTCTTCTTTTTTTTTTTTAATCTTGTAAAACGTGGGGAACATTGGGAATTGTACATTGTGCTAAGTTAACCTCTCCCGCCTTTTGTAAATGCTCTGGTGGGTTCTTGTTTGGGGGTGTGGTATTTTGTGGCTGGTTTAGTTAGAGGTGAACTCTCAAAGGTATCAAAACTGTGCTTCCATTATTAGTGTGGGAAACAGACAGGCTTTAAGGGAGAGAGAACGTGGAATTTTGCAAGTCCTAATCATAGCTGCAAATGCATGGGATTCTAGAGTTTGTTTTAATGGGGCTTCAAAATAAGCAGAAAGACATAATGCGTAGCCCGATTCTCCAGTGAGGAGCTGGCCTCTCTGGGCCTGTGCTGTTGGGTATGCAGCCCTGATGGATTCCAGAAGACCTGGAATCTTCTGCCCTCTCACCTCAGGGTGCAGGCTGGAGTTTCTGACTTCTCCCTGTGTGCAGAGGCACACAGAAGCAGTCGGGTTCTTTACAGAGACCCCCGTTTCCTGATGGCAGTCCCTTTTGGAAAGAGCATGGCTGGGCTCTAGTCAGTAGTCCTTTGTGGCGAAGCCTGCCTTTGTGTTGACTTGCAAGATTTTGCGCTTCTTCAGGCAAAAACTGGTCAAAACGGTTACTATATAATTTGTTCCCAGAGGTTTGAAACATTCAGTGAAACTTTTTAAAACTTTGCATGATGTATTTTTTTTCTTTTTAGAAAGTTATTGTTTGAGAATAATGTCTTTTTATACCAGGAAATAGTTATCCTGAAATGACGTTGAAAACTTCTCCTTCCCTTTATTTTTTTTTAATCAATACATGTTAAAGTAACAAGTCCTCAGTACTTGGCGTCTTCATTCATTCCTGTGCTTGAGGAGGGGTGCTGAGGTGCTCAGTTTAGGCCGTGGGGCAGCTTAGGTGGCGGGGTTCTGAGAGGGGGTCTGCAGAGGATCTCCTGTCCTCCAGCCTCCTTGCCAGGCCTTCGCATGTTTGCTCTCTTCGCATTGTGGACCATGTCCTTCTCCTTGGTGTTTGGCTTTGTGATGGGGGCGGGTGGCGGGGTGGAGGAGGCCGCCTGAAGAAAATAAACTGATGTCACAGATCAGTTTTATCCAAATTATTGTTTCAACAACTCAAGACCTAGCAGTGTGGGGTGCGCAGCTCCAGCGGGTGGGAGGGACGCGATGACTCCCAAATTAACTACCCAAAAGGCGGGGGAACCCTTCATGCTAAATACGGGAAGGAAGGATGGGCCGGAAGGATGGGCCGGTGTGGGAGTGTCCCCTCCCCCTCCCACCCACCCTGGGCACACCAGGGTAGCTCCAGGCTGTCTGTAGACTGGCAGCACCAACCAGCAAAAGTGAGTGAGCCCACCGGCACCCCCTGCCCAGGGAGCCAGGAGCTCCACTGCCCCCTCTGAGCACTGGGGATTGCTCTGCTGGGCTTGAGAGTTCACCCACGCGTCCCGGCCTCCCCTTCCTCCCACCTCACCTTAGCTGACCCATCCCCCATCGGCCCACCTGACTGTCTGGTGGGGGCAGGGTGTGGGCATACTTGTCCTGTGGGATGGGATCTCCACGTAGGAGGACCAGAGGAGGGTCTCACTGTGACATGCTCAGCCTCTGGATCTGAGGATGTGGCAGCCTCCCTGCACGCTTGGCAGTCCATGCTCGGTCCACCTGCCCCTGGCAGCTGTGCTGGGAACAGAGGGGCCCTCTGGAGCGCCCGCTGAGGCTGTAGCTTGAGGCCTGGCCTGGATGTTCGGATCCTAACTTTTGAGCCAGCCTCCTTTGGCCCGAGAATCAATCCCTAAGTCCTACGTCTGCAAGAGTCACCAGGGAGATACCCCAGGTCGTTTGACTGACTCTCAAGAGCCACGTCAGACCAGTTCTTCTTCCAGGGATGACAGCAGTTTGAGGGGCCTTGTTAAAGAGCATCTCTTGGGGTCACCCAGGCCTATGACTGCAGAGCCTCTTCCCAGCACAGCAGGGGGGTGTGGGGGTGGCCGGCTGCTTCTCTGGGGCTTTGCTTTCCCTGTCACCGTTGGGGACATCTGGGTAACAGCTAGTCATGAATGTCATCTCGCGCTCGGAGCTCATCTCATTGTAATGTTGACATCCGCTGCAAAAGCTGCTCTTGGCGCGCTGTCCTGCCGCTGCTTGGCAAAGATCCATTGTTGTCATCAGCTGATGGGTGAGTGGAGCTGAAGGCTGGACCAGTCCAAACCAGGCTGCTCTGAGGACCGGAGCCACTGCTCCTCCCTCTCCTGCCTCTGTCCCTCTGCCCTGGCCTGGGCAGCGGGCTCGTGGGTCAGCCTTCAGGACCCACAGCTGCGACCTTCCCTGTCTTTCCCTTCCTGTCTCCCCCGTCCTACGCCTGATCCGCTGCCTTCCTGTTTAGGTCAGTTCTACAGCAACGGAGGGCATTCTGGGAATGCCGGTGGTGGCGGCGGCGGGGGCGGTGGTGGCTCCTCTGGCTATGGCTCCTACTACCAAGGCGACAACTACAACTCACCAGTGCCCCCGAAACACGCTGGAAAGAAGCAGCCCCACGGGGGCCAGCAGAAGCCCTCCTACGGCTCGGGCTACCAGTCCCACCAAGGCCAGCAGCAGTCCTACAACCAGGGCCAGTACAGCAACTACGGCCCCCCCCAGGGCAAGCAGAAGGGCTATAATCATGGACAAGGCAACTACTCCTCCTACTCAAACTCCTACAGCTCCCCCGGGGGCGGGGGCGGATCAGACTACAGCTACGAGAGCAAATTCAGTGAGTTGGCTTCCAGGGCCCCGAGGCCTGGCCAGGGTCCAGGCTGGCGGCGCATCCCGTGGAGTGGCGGAAGCTCAGCATTGTCCTGACCTCTTGCTGAGGGACTGGAAGGAAGCCGGGCGGTGCTGACTGCCCGGGTGGGCTTTAGGAGAATCCTGGAGGCAGAGTTCCCCTGGCCCGCATCCTTGCTGTTCCCTTCCTGTCGCTTTCTCCGAAGGCAGGTCTAGTGGAGGCCCCTGTGCCAAGGAAGCCTGTGGGTTGAGGCTGGGGCACAAGGGTGGAGTCTGTGAGTCTGGGCAGCTACTGTGAGGTAACTTCCAGGGATGGGCTCTGGAAACAGTGTTGCGTTCAGCCTCCAAAAGAGCCCAAGTCACTTTTCTGCTCCGCCTCTCCCTCCACCTCATGCACAAACTCAGCAGGCTGCACTGGTGGCTGAGCTAGGAAAGCGTAGGTGTGCGCTTGTTTTCTGTGATGGGACACTGGCCAGCAGGAGGGCCAGGGACTTTAAAAGAAGCTGTGCTCCCTGTGTGTGGGCCAGGGGGCACTGGGTGCCTGGTTGGTGACAGCTGGGTGGGAGGAGAAGAGACTGGTATATGGCTCCTGAATTGCTGGGAAGCTTGTGTTGGAGGGGAAGGTGGGAAGACAGGATGCACCTGGGCCCTCCAATCCAGGGCACAGAGACCTGGCAGGGCTCCAGCTGGCCCCTTGCAGTTCTAGGTTGAATTGGCGTGTTCTAGGTTTAAGCAGTCAGAACAGGGAGATTTGCAGAGGCTTATGGTCTCAACCTATGGCCTGCTACTTCCAGGCCCACAGCTCAAGGATCCTGGACCACCCCAGCTGTGTTTTTGCCAAGGCCCCTTAACCACATTATCTTCTCTCCTCCAGACTACAGTGGTAGTGGAGGCCGGAGCGGCGGGAACAGCTACGGCTCAGGCGGGTCGTCCTACAACCCAGGGTCACACGGGGGCTACGGCGGAGGTTCTGGGGGCGGCTCCTCATACCAAGGCAAACAAGGTGGGCCTGGATTGGCAGGTGGCACAGCCGGGGGTGGGGGGAGGGGTCCAATGATGAGGGGCATCACCTGGCGGGTAGCATAGGCAGGGCTACAGTGGCACCTGCCATCTGGCTTCCATATGGGCTGAGAATAGGAAGAGGGAGATCTGGGCACATGGGCTCAGAGATACCTCTAGCATCTCAGCTTTCCAGAAGTCAGACATCCAGATGATAGCTAGATGACACCTGAATGGAAAAACGCTGATGACACTGAGGCCCACACAGCCTGCTGTGTGGCCTCTGGTTCAGGGGCTTCAGGCTCAGCCTTGTGCTTGGGGAGCCCCCAGATACAGCTCCCGCTGCTGCTGCCTCTGCCTATACTGGGCAGATCCTCACCGCTTACAAACCAGGGTCCAGTGGTTCTACCTCGCAGGGTGTTGGTGACAACCAACCCCATTTACCCAGGAAGGGCACTGAGCCAGAGGCAGTGCCCAGTCTGCTGCCCTGCTGTGGTCTCCCCAGTGGACATGACGTGGACACACAACATGGCTCAGGTGTTGCCGTGGTCCTGAGCTCTGATTACAGGCAAAGCCCCGTGCCCCTCACCTCTAACCCACCCCTCTCTTCCCCAGGAGGCTACTCGTCACAATCAAACTACAACTCCCCGGGGTCCGGCCAGAATTACAGCGGCCCTCCCAGCTCCTACCAGTCATCACAGGGCGGCTACGGCAGAAACGCAGACCACAGCATGAACTACCAGTATAGATAAAGCCCCCGCCGAGGGGTGAAGATTTGTACCTTCTGCACTTACCCCTCGTTGTAAGATTCAGTTTTATGCATCACAGTTAACATGTCAGCTGGCCCCTCCAGGCCCCTTCCGCCCCAACTTGTCCACGTTGCTGTGTTGTGAGGTGCGGCTGGTCACGCCCGTGACCCGTCCTGTGACCCATATTTAGCCGTGTTTGGGACTTCCATGTCTTCAATGGTTTGTTAGTTGCCATCACAACTTTGTCCGAGTAGAGTTTTTTGAGTTCTTGCAGTTACGTATCCCTCTGTCTATTTACAATTGGTGTTAGTGTTAACTCAGTTTGTCTTTAAATAGCTACAGAAGGGATACATCATCTGTTAATGCTTTTGTGAAGTGAGTTAAACGAGCTTTCTGTATTTTAATGCTTTAGTGTTTCAGTTTTATAAGTGAAGATTTTATTTTAAAAACCAGTGGGAAAGAGTGGGTTTTTTTTTGTATGTCTGGATCATTCAGGCAGTACATCTGAGTTAAGCTGAATGTAGACAAATAAAGAAAAAGAAAACTCTGTGCCCGTGGTAGGCTTGGGTGTCTGACCCACCAGCAGTGTGATGGGCAGGTTCCTCCACTGTTCCCAGCATGGGAATGTAGGGTGGGGGTAGCAGGGCAGTCCCCTCTCACCAAAGCGTCTGGCTCCAGGCCTCTAGATGCCTTTATTCCAAGTTTGGCTGGGGCCAGCACCCCAGTTACATGGGATCTCGTATTCCTGGTGTCCCAGGGGCTCTTGGGGTCTGCACAGTGGCATACAAGTGGCCCACGCTGGTGTTTGGGGACTTGCTCACACATTTCAGCATGCTTGCTTTTCTGCTCCTTGAATTCTGGTGTAGTTTTAAGTGCAGTTTCTTGTTTCCATGGAGTAAAATGTCCTAGGTTTAGTACATGTAACCTGACTTGAAAGGGGCTGATTGAATCTGGCTAAAGCACCCCAAGATCTGAGAAACCCAGCCATAGAACCTTCTATATATCAGAATGGCGTGGTTTTGTGTTCCCAACAGCTGCAGCCTTCGTCCCTGTTGCCACCCCTGCCCAGGGGATCAGAGTGCGCAGTTGGGGTTCTTTCTCATAGCCCAGATCTGCCCCATTCTAGCAGGTTTCCCTGGAGCAGTGCTTCTCAATCCCAGGCAGTTACGCTGCCTATTTGGGGGACATTGCCACCTACTGGGCAGAGGCCAAAGATCCTATCGACCATTCTATGCTTGAGTGTCAGCTATGTGGAGGTGGAGGAACCTGCCCTGAGAACAGTGCTTTTCAGCTCTGGCCCTGCCCTGGGGATGGGCAGAGGTAGCGGCTCTGACTGCCTTTGCCCAGGCTTCAGCTCTGTCTGGGAAGAGCCTCGGGTGAGGCGTGGGGCTGCACCTCTGCAGGGACCCTTCTCCTCTTGCCGTCTCTCTACCATCTCTCAGACCAGGCACCGTTTGCATCCTGAACCCTGGGAAGTCCCTTGGCCTCCTGGCTTGGTTAACCATAGCCTTTGGAAGAAGATCATTCTTGACTCAGAATTCTTCAGCTGAGGCAGAAAATCCAGTGTGCCTTCAAAGGACAAAGCTTTGCCTTGGAGAGATGAAAGAAAGGTGTTCTGCACTAAACAAAAGAAAACATTGGAAGAATTTTGCCTTCTGCTGGAGCAGAGGAAGAACCAGGTGGTCCAGCCTGGGGAGAGGGAGGAGGGATAATGTGATGCCCATCTGAGAAGTTCATGGTATGAGCATTTAGGTTGGCCTGCAGTGCACTGGGGTCCCTTGAGTGTGTGTGTGTGCGTGCACTCGGGACAAGAGACAGATCCGAGGGATGGGTCCAAACCCAGATGTGATGGGATGTGACTTGTCCATGATCCATCATCTCTTCTAGACACTTCAGGGGGCTGGGACCAAGAGCCCCTCGAGATCATTAGGACCTTATATTGAAATGAGAAGACACAGGCTACATACAGATGAAGCCTGTACCCATGAGGAAGAACACCCCGCCCTGCCTGCCAAAACACCTTCAAACCGTGGGCTTGTCTGCTCAGCACAGGTCTCTTACTGTCCGTTTCTGAAGCAGTGACTGCCACCACATTGAAGTTTTTTGAATGTAGACCTTCACAAGGGCAGGAATCTTGAGGAAGGCAGTGGAGAACTCCCAGGCCATCTTGATGTGGAGGCCTCAGGGAGTTATGAATGACTTGGGGCCATGTTCCTCTTGTGAAAAAGGGTTTGTTTGGGTTGCTTGTCTCATGTGGATGCCTGTCTGAATCCTTGAACCTGGTCTGAGCGCTCCCAAAGCCAAGACAAGCTTTGTTGATCTGATTGACATTCATTGCCAAGAACAGAGCAGTATCTGAGAAGGAGGATCTTTTCTTGTTTCTTCCAGTTCCTGGTAACTTGAGGCTTGTGACAGCATCACTCTAGGAGCCACCTCCTTCATGTGACCTCCCTGTGAGCCTGTGTCTCAGATCTACTCCTTTCTTCTAAGGACACCAAGTCAATGGATTTCAGCTCCACGCTAATCCAGGGAGAGTGCATCTCAACATCCTTCACATTCATGGTTGTGTCAGCAGTTAAGACTTGGATGTACATTTTTGCAGGAGTACTATTCAGCTCACTGAAAGGGTTGAGTGAAGGCTTTATCCCATGCTGGTGGCACAGCCCTGGGAGTTTGTTGACCACTGCCAGGATCACCATGGTGGGTACCTGTCCCAAGGCAACAGCTCATGAGCACACATCCCTCGGCACCCTTACTGCTTGGGGACTTCGTTGGTGCTAATGGCAGTGTTATGCATTTGGCCAGTGACAGTATCTCAGCCCTCAGGACCTGTCATTCCAGGCAACTGGGTTCAGATTGTGGCCGCCACCATAAGCATGAAGAAGACCTGGGTGCTGGCATGTCATTCATTCAGAGCTGACCAAGGTCTCTCCAGGCCTGTTGCCCTCCAAGCTCAGGAAGCCAGCATGGAGGAAGTTCTTGCTGAGATGCTTCTCCAGGTCCTCCTTGGCCAGGGACACAGTGGGCAACAGAGGGATGCCTCAGCCCATATGCTGCCAGAGGAGGGTGTCCTGTGTCATTCAGTCACCAGCAGAGCTTGCCAGGAACGTCAGCAGGAAGAGCCAGTGGCCCACATGCTCAGCAAGTGGATTAGGGTAGGGTACTTACTTGGTGGATAGGCGCACGAGGGTCAGTGACCCAGGACTGGACACTATCCCAGAGGGCTCAGGATGCCTTTGGAGGGAGGAAGGGGGAAAGACCTCATGACTGAGGGAACACCTGAACACATGCATGGTGGGCTGAGATGATGGGAAGAGCCTTGCAGGGAATTTCAGCTGATCCCACGGGAAGGTTTGGGGTGGTTAAGACCGAGGACCAAAGGGGGGTGCTCTAAGCAGTAATAATGGGATGCAGATCCAAGATTTCCACTTTTGTCCATTGATCAGAATCACTAGGGTCCTGGTTGTCCCGATGGCCTGGGATCCAGTCTGACCTGGAAGTCGATGCCCAGTTGCTTCCACTCTGGCAAGGGAATGTGCACTGTCCCTCTGACCACTGATCATTCTTGTGCAGTTGGCAAGGCCCGTCCCAACCTTCAGTACTGACCTGGTCCCCCAGGTCTGGCTTTTTGCCTCTGGGCTCAGCCTTAGGATTCAGTCTGCGGGTGTGAGCCCCACACTGTCTGCCCTTTGCAAGCCTATCCAGAGACTTCTGGACACAATTATGGGCCACACACCAGCAAGCCTTCTTGGCCTGAATGCTCATTCTAACCCATCCCAGAATAAATGGAAACTTCATGTGTTCATTGTTTCATTCACTCCACATGTATTTATTGGGTGTTGCTTATGTATCAGTCCCATATAGTGTGCTGGGAATGTGAAGTTGGGTCTTCTGATGGAGCTTCCAGGTACCAAGAGGGCCCTGGTCCAGCTGGTAGGGAAAGAAGGCTGTCTGTTACAAGAGACAAAACCGTTAAATCAGAAGGTGTATTAAGGGAGGGTGAGCACAGGTTATGCCATGTAGAGGAGCAGTATGCACAAAAGTTGAGCTGTGTGTTGCGCATTGACTTGAGAGCTGAAGTCAGGTGGGTGAAGCATTCTGGTTGCAAGGTGAGAAGTATGGTTGGATGTCAGCAGAGGCGAACCACTGCAGGGCCTGGACAGCCTACGGTGGAGTTCTAACCTTTATCTTGAGGGCAGTGGGGAGCCAAGGAGGGATTCTGAGGGGGTGGAGAACCTAGGCTCAGTCGTGCCTCTGAGAACAGCCCTTTTGGCTGTTGAGCAGAGAATAGGTGTGTGAGAGGTTAGGATGCAGGCAAGGTTCAGAAGGCTCAAGTTTGGAACATCTGAACTGAGACATAGGGTGATTTAGACCATAGAGTCCATTGGACTAGGTAGGAAATCTCTCCCAGACCTGAAAGGGGTAACACCTAGAGGGCCCACACTCGCAGGCACTCTGCTCTGTAAAGAGACAAGCAGAAAAGTCTAAGACACCATGGAAGTCATTCTCTGGTGGTAGCAAGTCCTGGGCCCGTGCCTTTCCCAGTGGTTCCCAAGAAGCTCGGTCTCCTTAGCACTCAGGGAAGGATAGCCCCCATCCCTGGCTGGAGAAACAAGAAAACATCTACTCTCCAGCCTCCTGGAACAACCACCCACACCGGGCTCCAAGTACCCATTTCAACATCAGAGCTATTCAAAATCCCCAGCTCCTCTTCCAGAGGTTGTGGATTTCCCAGTCTTTGCTCAGAAATCCGATTCCTGCCCTTATGGGTTCCGGGATCTCAGTACCATCTTTTTAAATTTATTCATGAGAGAGAGGCAGAAACAGGCAGAGGGAGAAGCAAGCTCCATGCAGGGAGCCTGACATGGGACTGGATCCTGGGTCTCCAGGATCACGCCCTGGGCTAAAGACCGCTAAACCACCGGGGCTGCCCTCAGTATCACCTTATGGCCAACTACCTAGCCCGGGTTTGGGGACTTCCCCCAGGCGACTGGCGTTCCCAGAGAAGGGCAAGTTGGGAGACCTACTGAGAACCCCCTCCAGCCACGTCTGGAAACCATGCGCAGACCTCCGCGCGAGGGGCGCAAATGCCGCCCCAGGTCCCGCCTTTGCCGACACCTCCCTTACCAAACCACGTCCCGTGTGCCCGTAAGTCCGCGGGGTACACTGCGCCTGCCCCTTTTTATGCCCGATCAACAGACTCGGTTTGAAACCAGTATTCTACAGGCCTCGCTCCCAGCAGTCCCCGCCTCGAGATCCCACGCCCTTATGCCGTCAGCAAACTTGCAATTGGGCGCTGTTTCGGGCTCCGCCTACGGTCGCGCCCCATAGGTGTTTCCCGCCTGGAGCTCCCAGCCAACCGCTTGGGAAGGGACGTTTTCCCAAGGCTCCGCCCCCAGAGCCGCCGCGTCCCTGGTCTCCTGACAACGCGCATGGCGCTGTCCAGCGTCCTGAAGCCGCTGTCCCAGCGCCTCTCGAAAAGTGGCGGCATTCTGGCGCCCCCAGCCCTTTCTACTGAGTAGCACTGAAACCCCTAAAGCAGATGTCAGTGAATCTCAGCTGCACCCCACCTCCACACCCCAGTTTACCTCTTGGTAACAAAGCTGGCTTCACGCTCTGCTAAGAAACCCCCACCTTCCCATCTAGACGCTCAGAGGAAAGTCCTCATTGCAAACCAGAGGCTTTGCAGAAACGGGCTCTGACCTTCTCACGCTCATCTTCCCTTCCTTCCCTCGCTCCCTCCAGCCACACTGACCACCCCGCTGCACTGCGAACAATCCAGACACATTCCCACCTCAGGGATTTTACTCTGTTTCCACTGCCTGAAATGCCCTCTCCGAGAGCTAGCTAGCTAGCTTGCTTTCTTCTTTCTTTTCTTCCTTTCTTCCTTCCTTTTCTTCTTATTCTTCCTCCCCCTCCTCCTTTCTCCCCCTCCTCCTTTCTCCCCTCCTCCTTCCTCCTCCTCCTCCTCCTCCTCCTCCTTCTTCCTTCTTCTTTCTTTCTTCTTCTTCTAGTAATTATACCCAATGTGGGGCTCGAACTCACAATCCAGAGATCAATAGTCACACGCTCCATCGACTGAACCAGCCAGGTGCCCCTCTCTCTGAGATCTCAATGTGGCTCCCTCCAGATCTCCTTCAGGCCTTAAATCACATCTCACCTTCTCGGCGATTGTGGTCCTGACCAGCCTACTTAAAATAGTCACCTTTCAGGGGCACCTGGCTGATTCAGCTGGTAGAGCATGCAATTTTTGATCTTGGGTTCGTGAGTTCGAGCCCCATGTTGGGTGTACAGATGACATAAAAAATAATACTCACTTCCCAACTCTTTTTCCTCTGCCCTGCCCTATTTATTCCCTAGCCCTCATCATCACTTGAGTTATGGTATGTTTAACTTATTTTTCTTCTTTGCTCATCCAGGGCATGGATTTTGGTCTCCTTGTTTACTGCTGTGTTGCCAGCAGTGAGAACAGGGACTTGCACAGAGTGGACACTTCATAATGTTTATTACATCAATCTTCATGTGTGTATTTGAGCACTTAAAATGTACTAGGCCCTGTACACCATCATAATGATCCTCTGCCCCAAATTAAAGATTAAGAAAGTGATACTGAGAGTAGCATCACCTGACCAAAGTCACCTGGCTTCTGAATCCCCCCCCCCACTCCCAGATTCCTCTGTTTGTAACCTTTTCACCCCTGCTCTATGCTGCAATCCCTAATGCTGCCTTCTCCTTCAGGAAAAGAAGCTGTATGGGAGGGTGGCTTCACAGAGCTCAGACAGGACTAGATTTCAATTCCTATTCCTTGATTACTAGCAATGTGACCATGAGCAAGTCGGTAAATGTTTGTGCTCCAGTTTCTTCATAAAATGGGAATGATAATGGTATCCACCCCCCTGTACTGTGAGAAGTGATGACACTGTAGGGCTTACCAGACAACTGGCACACACGGGCGCCTGCTCCAATAGTGTTGGCAGGGTTGGTTCTTCATCATCATCATACTATTATTTGAGGAAACTAAACAAACAACAAAACACATTTTTAAAAGATTGTATTTATTCATCAGAAAGAAAGAGGCAGAGACATGGGCAGAGGGAGAAGCAGACTCCATGCGGGAAGCCCAATGTGGAACTCGACCCCCAGACCCAGGATCACACTCTGAGCCAAAGGCAGACGCTCAACCCCTGAGCCACCCAGGCATCCCAACAAAACACATTTTAAAAAATCAAGAGGATGTCTTGTTCCCTTGGCAGCGGTAGTTGCAGGGGATTGTGCAGACATGGCCAAGATTAAGGCTCGCCACCTTTGCAGCAAGAAGGAAGAGCTGCTTATACAGCTTTAAGAAAGACCTGATGGTGGAGCTGTCCCAGCTGTGGTGCCAAGTGACAGGCAGCTCTGCTTCCAAGCTCTCCAAGATCTGAGTTGTTAACAAACGTTCTTTGCCTGTGTTCTTTCTTACCATCATTAACCAGACTCAGAAAGAGAACCTTGGGGAATTCTACAGGGGTAAGAAATACAAACCCCTGGATCTGTGCCCCAAGAAGATGCCATGCGCCACCGACCGAAGAACCCCGGGGAAAGCCTGAAGACCAAGAAGCAGCAGCAGGAGGAGCAGCTGCACCGCCGCAGAAGTTGATAGTCAAGGTCTGAGCACTTGCATTTGTAAAACACAAACGAGCAATAATGACAACAACAACAATAATAAATCAAGAGGATTGCTAGACTAGTATTATGTCTTGCAAAAAACATAGAGGGAGTAGAGCATGGAACTCTTGATGTTGGGGTAGTTAGTTCGAGCCCCACATTGGGGGTAGAGTTTAAGAAAAAAAGAATATATCTATTATATATATATAATATTATATATATAACATTTATTTTTTAAGATTTTATTTATTTATTCATGAGAGAGAGAGACAGAGACAGGCAGAGGGAGAAGTAGGCTCCATGCAGGGAGCCCGAAGTGGGACTCGATCCCTGTCTCCAGGATCAGGCCCTGGGCTGAAGGCGGCACTAAACCCCTGAGCCCCCGGGGCTGCCCATATTATAACATTTATATTCAAAGCACTACATTTAGAAAAGGAAATGTTCAGGGCCACCTGGGTGACTCATTGATTGAGCATTTGCTTTTGGCTCAGGTTGTGATCCTGGGGTCCTGGGATCGAGTCCCCCATCTGGCTCCTGGTGGAGAGGCGGCTTCTCCCTCTGCTTATATCTCTGCCTGTCTCTGTGTGTTTCTTATGAATAAATCAATAAAATCTTTTTTAAAAAGTAAAAAATAAATAAAAAAAGGAAATGCTCAACAGCTCAACTATGTTGAATTCTATCACCAAATTCCCTAAACTGAGTAGTGAAAGATGTCACTAAATGACTCGAACATCTGGGAAAATGTCAAACCTTAGTAACAATCACAGACATGCAGACTAAAACCCCAATGAAACACCATTTCATATACACCTGGTTGACAGAGTTGAAGAGTTCTGAAAATGAAAGAAGTCCCAAAGATTCCTTATTTGTTTGATGCTCAAAGTAATCTCCAGGGGCACCTGGCTCTGTCGGTTAAGCACCTGCCTTTGGCTCCAGTCATGGTCCTGGATTCCTGGGATTAAACTCTGAGTCTGGCTCAGTGGGGAGTCTGCTTCTCCCTCTCACACTGCCCTCCCCCCACCTCCGCTCATGCTCTCTCACTCTCTCTCAAATAAATTATTTATTTTTAAAAAATGTAATCTTGGGATCCCTGGGTGTTGCAGCGGTTTGGCGCCTGCCTTTGGCCCAGGGCGCGATCCTGGAGACCCAGGATCAAATCCCGCGTCGGG